ATTCTTAATGGCCGTGAATTATTTTTACCCAAAACTCCAAACTTTATTCATTAGTTTCTTCTCATTCAACATGCAGATGCAGAAGTGACAGAGTTAACAGACATAATATTCTTTCCAACGAGACAACACAAACTCTCTTGAGATCAGTTAAGATCAAAGAAGTAAATCTTAGAATGTCTTGATAAACTTAGACATGGAGAAATACATGAACTCTTACTAAGAACAGCTTCCCTTAATGTTCAGTGGCATGACAGTTTTATGTGAGATTTGATTGTTTTTAATAATTTTAGCATCTAAAACTGATTAAAAACCTGCTATCAGCCATGCATTATACTTTTCATTCATGATCTCATTTATGTATCACAACACACGTAAAGGCAGATACTTTTATTATTCCCATTGGCAGATGAGGAATGAAGGCGATGAATTGTTCAACAACTTGTCTAAACAAAACAAAAGCAGGAAGTGATAGAACTGAACTTCAAAGTTAAGTTTGATTTAAAGTATCTATCCTTTAACTCTAAGCTATACCATGTCTTCAGTGTGGTACTAGTTACAGAAAGGGGAAAAACATGATTGACATCAATATCAATACCTATAGGCAGAGTATAGTAAGTTAAGTCCACTTTGCCCATATTCCAAAATTATCCAAACAAATCTGCTTTCAGATTTTTACTGGCACAATCACATAGTTGTATTTAATGACATTTGTTGACTCAGCAGACCGTCTCCTGTTTGCTTTCATTCTACTATCCAGCTTTCATCTCAGCCAGGGCCTGTTTAAACTAGGACACTATTTCTTCCCTCAATCCAAGGACCACATGAACAACAAATACATGAAAATAAACACAATGCTTTTCTGTACCCAAAGAGTAACTTAACTTGAATACTAGCTGCTGAGAAGGTTATGATATTACCCTTTTATGGGCTCTAGCACATGGCCATTGACATACCAACTTCTGATTGACCAGCTGCTGACTGACATAACCAAATGACTGAATAAACAAAGAAGTCAGGTGTATTTGCTCCTTTCTGTTCTGGTATAATTAGGGCTCAGACTTGGAACATATTCATGCTTTTCTAACATCATGAATACAGTATTGTTTTTTCGGTATGACAAAACACTTTGGTGTCGGAATTTTTTCAAATCCCCCAAAGAAAGAGATGTTCAGTATTGCTCATCATTTGGCATATCTTAGAAACTGACACATTTATTCTGCTGGTGATGTAATCAAACATAAGTTATTTTTTATTATGATGTCTTTGGAACTTGTAAGGTTCATTGATCATCTCAATAACTATTGTTATCTCACTTATTAATACCGTATCATTAATTCTTTGTCACAGAACACACTGTTGGTCCTTGCCTTCAGGAATGACACTGGGGACAGGCAGGTAGGAATTCTGGGTCAGCCTGTTAGAATTTCTGAAATGACCTCTCCTGGGGGGCATTCCTTTGGGATTAAGAGATAATTTCATAGGGACTCATCTAAAATGTGCTTGTTCCCCAGGAGTGATCACGCCACCAGTCATTGACAATCCTTAGCATAGTACATAACATTGTAAGTTGAGCACTGGTAGGTCCTTCATTTTAGGAGAAAACTGAGGCTTACAGTGACTACATGCTTTCCCTAAAGACACACAGAAAGGCATTGGGGACTAGAAAAGGAACTCGATTGTAACATTCTCTTCCAGGCCTGCAATATCCTTGTTTCACTTTCTTCATTATTTGAGCTAGATGACATGGTATGTTGCCAGATAATCTCAGCTCCCTTACTCTCTAGTCCTTTAGCTGCACTGACCCTGGAAAGTACCAATCTTGAACTAGTCCAACCAGCTGTCTTCACTGCTCATATGTTCATAAAGTATTGTTGGATAAAGTGAAACAACAGTGCAGATCAGGACCATGATGGGCGTGCAGTCTCCAGTCCCAGCGGGTCCTCAGCATGGACATATGGTCCTTCTACATTATCAGATCCACTTCTCTCATCTTCCTGAATGGGACCATTTCCTTCAGGTCCTCTAGTCATCCCTTACTTGTCAGTTTCCCCCAATAATCTCACGTCCTATTTCACTGAGAAGTTGCCTACTTCACCTTTCAAAATATGGTAGAAATCTTGCCATTTCTGCTCTTTTTCTGTTCTTTAAGGTCAATAATATTTAAAGCAACTGTGTTTCCGCAAACGTGGAATGAGTTACTCTTTCACTATACGTTAGTATAAAACATTCATCCAGGACTTGGTATCCTGGATTTCAATGACAGCTGTGCCTGATCTGACTTAGTCATATGTCGAATTTGTGAATTCTATCCCTGTAGACATATGATTTAGAAGAAGTTACTAAAATATACCTCAAGTTAAATCACTTGAGACTCAAGAACTTCTAGGTATGGTAGTTATGGGGTCATTTTAAAACTGGAATTTGGACGGGGGTTCTTTGTGCATAGCATGTTAACAAATTCAGGGCTGCTTACATGAACTACTATACTCCTACAGAAAATCCCACTATACACTTAATACTCCCTGATAAAGTGTTAAATATTATTGAAGAATGTGGTTAAGGCGAACGTTCAATGAAATGTTGACTATTTTCATACATGACAGTTTATAAAATTTTCCTCCTTATGGTTTGATACTGAGCTCATGATTGAAAGTATTACTAGTTGAAATGATTCAGAAAGATAGTGACTTTTCCCTTTGTCTTTGAATATTAGGAATATCAATTAACTTAAAACTATAACAATACATTATTAATTCTACAAAGTTGGTTATTAATTTTACTGAGGAAATCCTATGCCGATGGTTGGAAAAGAACCCATGGAATACTCTTGCAGTATTTTAATTGTGTCAGTTTATTTGGTGATATATTATGCTGCAGACGCCTTGATTCATTCACAATAAAGGACTTAGGAAAAAGGTATACCATCTAAAAAGCCTCTTCCCATTATTGCCTTCTGCCAAGACTAGAGAAAACAACTAGAGATATTTTGTGTAGAACAATTTCATTACTTTCAATAGTATTAAAATAATCACATATTAATGTGGTTTTTTGTACCAATATATTCCATGTACTTCAACATTTAAAATTTTAAGGATTGTGTTTTCATGATAATGTTTATTCTCAGAACTGGTAAGTGTAGTTAATGAATGTTTGCTCTTCCAGGCCTGGTGTTTTGGCTAAGGCTGATGTTAAACCCATATTAATTTACATTTTTCAATAATACTCAAATACTCTCTTTTTGAGTAGGCTAGGCAAAAATATTTTTTTGATTTTACAGTCTAATTAAAGCAGAAAATAAATTATGAACAAATAAACAAGGTTGGGGTAACAATCTGGCTATTTTATTTAGAAGTCAGGGTTTTGGCTTTGTTACATTTATGCCACCATTTTTGAAGTTTTCAAAATAAACAGTGTGCTTCACCTGTAAAGTTTGGAAGCTACAAATCTTCTCTTTCTAGAATATAAATTAGGAGGTTGGGTTTGGTTTTTCTTCGTGCACGAGATTCTAATTTGAACCAGAAAATCAATTGTCCTGCTCCTTGTAAGACTGGATTTCAGTAAATTTTAGCATTTAACCATGTCATTTTTATGTAACTTCATGGTTTAGAATAGCACAAATAAATTTATAACAATCCATAAGTCCAGACGTCCAGGTGCTGCCTTTCCGGACATCCGTTGTATGATCAGGAAGTATTAAAATAATCTGAAGCCAATGTTAAGTCTTTCTGGCTATTATTAGCTATTTGGAAAGATCTAGATTCTCTTTTATCTGGAGCTACCTTAAAGTATTAGTTGACAATTAGACATTTAAATACATTTGAAGATACTGTTCTACTCACGTAAAATAGAAAAAGAAAGCAACAAAACAACATAAGTCTATGAAATCCGACTGTTTGTGAAGGAAGCTGTATCTTGTTAGCATGTGAATTTTGACCTTGTGGCTCCAGAAATTCTAATGAACCACAAAATCTAAGCTATGTTTCCCATCTACATACAATATATTTTATTACCTTCACTTATCTATACAATACAAACCTGTTCAGTTCTTTGGTAAAGTAACATGGAGGGAAAATAATGCATTTGAGTGTGTCATAAATCACAGAACCTTTTTTACTCTACTGTAATACATTTAATTTGAAAACTCTGTAATATCATTCAATCTGCTTTCTCGTGTCTTTGTAAAAAGATTTCAATGAAGCCCCCAGTCACTTCACAAGTCACCTATTTTCCTATCTTTCTTCCTGATTTGAAATACCCTAGTCTCAGTTTCATAATACGCTGGCCAGAAACTGTGGACATTCTTGCTACTGCAACAGGTGTTTGTCAGTTTCTTAAGTTGCTTTCCTTTCCCCTGAGGTGGTGTTATTTCCGGTACATTCCAAAGGCTCTGAAAAAAACCTTTCACAGTCTCTTGCCAAACCAAATCATGGCTCCAGCCTCTAAGTTATTGAGAACCCATTGTTCTTCAGGCTTTTATCTTATAGGCACTTGTGTGCGTCTTTCTCTAATTCCAATGTGGGAGGAACTAAAATATTGATTAAGAGTTTTGCAAAGCTGAAACTGAAAATGGAAATGATTTTTGTTCAGAAGCAAACACTCAGGATGTCTGGGAGTGTGGTTGATTATATTCCCGGCAAACCTGATGTGAAAAGGTTTTCATCATCCATTTAGACCACCCTGAAGTTTGACATACACATAAACAAACTGACCTCGATAACTTGCAGTCTACCTGTTAATGTTTCCCCCATAAGTGAGGGCTCCACATTCACTGAATGGCTGAACTTTTTACTGCAGAACTTAAGCAGAGGAGGGATAGCAGTAGAATGGAGACCATCAATCAATTGCTTATTTATACAGTTTTCTCCCTCTCCATATACTGCACCCCTGCTTCACCAAGTAAAACCCAAGCGTGCCATAATATGACTCAGTCATGATCGGAACACACGCATGCACCTCAGAACTATGATAAGGCAAGAGAAGACAAGATTGCTCAAACCAACCTTTTGGAAGTTTCTCAGTCCCGCTGAAGGCAACCAAAGTAAGAATATGTACCAGTGGAATGTTGACAAGCTCTCTCATGATTAATCCAGGCTCAGGCAGCAGAAAGTTCTTTCTGGACAACACAAGGAAAATGCCCCCCCCCCCGACAGTTTACATTTTAAAGCATAGTTTGTTCCAAAAGGGTCGTCTGCTAATGACTGTTTGTGTCAGCAGCTCCACTGACTCTAAGTATAATCAGGAATTCTCAGACTTGGCTGTAATGATGGACACGGCCAGCTGGTGAGTATCCACTTAGGCCAGTAACGCAAGTGTAGGGCTGGAGGAACAAGGGAAAGAAAATCCCTTTAGAATCCCTTTTAAGACAGTGGTAGAAGGACAATACCAGATGCCTTTTGCAACCATCACTGGATTCCCCGAGGTATAGTTTTCCTGGTCTTCTGAGTCAGCTCACCATCCCTCCTGCACTCACCCCAGAGCCCTGGGCATGTCTAATCATGACTCCTCCCCATTTCTCACTTCCCCCTCCCACATCCATCCCGTTAACCATTCCTACAGATTGCACCAACTCGATATTCCTTGATTTCCTCCCCTCCTTTGATTCCAGCTAGTCTCACCCTATCCCAACCTCCCTTTCAGACATTCATCTTCTTGGAATGACAGTGGTAACCTGTCTGTTCTCTCTGCCTTGTATCCTACTGTCCTCTAATTTCTTTTCAGATCGCCTGCCCTACTCAAAAGTCTTCAGTGGCTCTTCATCACATAGAAAAAAATATTCAAATCTAATATGACGTAGGAAGGCTCGCTGGACTCTGCCTACCTGTTTAGCCCCATCTGCTACAATCCATGCCTCTAGTTCAGTATTTAGCAACCTGGTTCCCTGTATACAGCTTTCCTGCCTCCATGAATTGTTCCTACTGTTCTCCCGTCTTGGAATGCTTTCCCCTCCTCTCCACCCAGTTAATACCTATCTCAGCTTGATCATCATCTCCTCCTGGGAGCCATCCTGGACCCAAACTCCCACATCTTCCCAAAGTTGCATTAGGTTTACCTCCTCTGGGCTTCTCTGTCATTGCACTTGCCACATGGTTTTAAGATTTTTTTCCGCTTGTGTTGGCATCTCCCTCATTCTTTGGCTTCATGAGTCCACAGAGTCAGCAGGCATGGACTGTCAATTGCAGCAGATTCTTCCAAAATGTTCTCCTATGCGAATTGCCTTTTCCCACTGGAACAATGTGTCTTGGAGACTTTTCCACGTTAATGTGCAGCACTACCTCATTATTTCTATTGGCTACACAGATTTCTAAATCGTGGGTGTATGATGGTATATTTAACCATATGCCCCAACAATGTATGAGAGAATCCATTTCCCCATACTCTCGTCGACACTTACCTTTGAATTTTTACGTTTAAGTAGAATAAAAACGGTATGTCGTTGTTTTAATTTACATGTATTCCACTCTTACTATTGGTAATGAGAATTTTTCATGTGTTTGTTATTCATTTTCCTCTTCTGTGGCTTTTGTCTATTTTTCCTCGTAGGTCATTTTTCTTTTTCTTATTAATTTATAGGAGTTTTAAAAACTACTCTGGTTGTAAATAATTTATATCATTGGTCCATTGTATATTTTGCAAATATTTTCTGTGTAGAACAGCCCTACTACCTAGCCATAGTGATTGCTTCAGAAATGGGCTTAGGGCTCAAGCTGGTTTACGGCTCAAGGTCTCCATGGTATTTTACTGGACCTAATACGAAATAAGCTCCTCTTTCTTAGATCACTGCCTGTGAGGACCAGGAAAGCCAAGGTTGTTGGAGGTTTCATGCTTCATTAACAAGAAATAGTGTGCAAAGCCAGGATGATCCATCGGATTTCCTTGTTTTTGAAATTAATCAATTCCTTTTTATTTTTTGCTTGGCTAATATGAATTTGATTCCTTAAATTGCAATCAAAATAATCCTGATGTAACTTTAATAGAAGAGATGTAAATTTGGTGTGGTTTCTGCTCTGAGAATACCCTGCGAATGCTACGTACTTCGTGGGAAACTTTGACATCAGCAGGATGAGCACTTTTTTTTTTTATGTGAAATTTAGGAATCAGCAGGATGAACAGAGTGGCTGTGGTTCCCGTAAGCAACACTAAGGAAAGCACAGGGTTTCAGAGATTTGGGTGACTATAGATTTATGAGCTGAAGTTAAGCTCAGGATCACCACCAGCTGTTAATAAAGGGAAGTCCAAGGTGAGTGATTCAAGGGGCCTCTATTCAAATGTCCAGGAGGAGGATTTGGGAGTGACCACTCTCCATCCTCTTCCCCTTTCCCCTAAAGTACAGAACAAGCACTGATGGTGCCCATTTTGAATCCAACAGGAATTGTACCCTCTAGACCAGTGACCCCAGGAAATTATCCCCTACTTCAAATTCCACCACAACCTGCGCCTGAAGGTGACAACAGTACTGTGCGAAACTAAGGGGAGACAAAGCTTTGTTGAGGGAAAGCCAGAATGTGTGGCTGAGGGCTGGTTTAAAATGAATCACTCTATTTCTGTTTTGCATATAAGTTCATTTCTATCATTTTTTTCTTAGATTCCACATATAAGCGATATCCTACGATATTTGTCTTTGTCTGGCTTACTTCACTTAGTATGATAATCTCTAGGTCCATCCAGGTTGCTGCAAGCATTATTTCATTCTTTTTGATGGCTGAGTAATATTCCATTGTAAAAATAAACCACATTTAAAAAATGATACACATGAACTTACATGCAAAACAGAAATAGACCAACAGACACAGAAAACAAACTTATGGTTACCAAAGGGGAAGTGGGGAAGAAATAAATATAGGAGTTTGGGGTTAACAGATGCAAACTATTATATATACAATGGATAAACAACAAGGACCTACTGTATAGCACAGGGAAATATACTCAATATTTTGAAATAACCTATAAGGAAAAAGAATCTGAAAAAATATATAATATATGTATGTATGTATAACTGAATCACTTTTCTGTATATCTGAAACTAACACAACATTGTAAATCAATTATACTTCAATGGAAATAAATAAATAAAATGAATCAATTGTTGGCTAAGAGAAGCCCCTGGAGAGTGTGGCTTAGGCATGGATGCTGCAGCGGCTCCCAAAGTGTAGCAGCTGGAGGTTGTCAGCCAATTATGGTCCTTGCAGCAGTTTCTTGGAACCTGGATAGAAAATGGCCTTCCATCCTATAATACAAGCAAACCTATTCCTTATAAAGCAGGCTCATTCAGCCACAGAGAGTGGAGACTGGGTGCCAGCCAGTTATTTGGCTTCTTTCTTGGGCATGTGGAGAGTAAATGGGGCTGATGGCCAGTCTTCCCTTCAGTAAAATGCACTCAGTCACCAGGTAAGCTTGTCTTGCCACCTTTGGTATCTCTGCTTCTTCATCTCAAGAGCTGGCCACGAGAGAAAGTAGCACCATGCTGAGCCATATCTTGAACTTGATGCCGGAATGCAACCATACAGCGGCTGATGAGACCGGTCCCTTTCCTGCTGGAGTCAGCACATCCCCCAGTTAGTGCCGCTGGTCTGCACCCTGCTCTCATACATCTGCTGAGACTTGGCAAGGAGCCCCTTCTAATTATCACAAAGGGCAATGACCTGGTTCTCTGCCTCACTGGTCAGCAGACAGTGGTTCAGAAATGCCACATGGATTGCCCTCTCCAGAAAACTCCTGGGAAGTCAAAGGGATACTCTGGAGTTCTATTTTTACAAATGGATTTAATGTCTGATTAAATATTAGGATGGCAATTAGAGATACATCAATATTCTGGGAACATACACCTTGTAAAGTTGGGAGGGACTCTTAAAATGTTTATTCAATGAATGAATGAATTATATTAACTACCTCCTGTATGCTGAACATTCAGCA